AAAATGGACAATGAATGGTTTTGGTGGTTTGAACATGTTTGGCTCAGAGAGTGGCACAATTAGGAGCTGTGGCCTTGCTGGAGGAAGTGTCTCACTGTGGGGATGGGCAATGAGACCCTCCTCCTAGCCAAATGGAAGCCAGTCTTCTAGTGGCCTTCAAATGAAGATATAGAACTCTCAGCTCCCCGCCCCACACACACACCCCAAACCATGCCTACCTAGACTCTGCCATGCTCCTGTCTTGATAATAATGGGCTGAACCTCTGAATCTGTAAGCCAGCCACAATTAAATGTTGTCTTTCATAGAAGTTGACTTGGTCATGGTGTCTGTTCACAGCAGTAAAACCCTAAGACAATGGTCTCTACAGTGACTTCATCAATAGGAAAGTCACTGATTCTTTTCTTAACATGTTTCTCACTACCTTATTTATACTACTGATTTTCACAATGAAAAATCACAGATATATCACACAAGAGGGTGATGCCAAGTGATTGGGTGACTTACATATGAACAAATTGTTAACAAATTGTTAACTCAGTTCTTTCCACCAACTGTCCACACCAATGCAACTCCACCCCACTCCATCTCTACCCATCACCCTGTTCACTAACACCACTTAAAATGACCTCACTTACTCTTCAGTTACCCAGTTCCTGTTCACCTTTCACACCTGAGAGTGAACGTCCCTAAGGTGAAGTCTTGTCTGCCTTCCCACAACACTCACCACCAGCCAGAACATTTCCTGTGCACAGAGCGTCAAGGAAGTAGCTAAACATCAACATTGTGTGTTCCTGTGACTGAATCTCTTCTCTCAGCTGTTGTGAGAAAAGAGAGATAAGGACATATTACTAAGTCCTTCTTAAATAGGAAGTACCCTGTAACTCATGAGGTGGGAGGAGAAGGAGATGAAATTATCATATACAAAAAGATAAAGACATGGCCTACAGACCTCAGATGACCAATGGACCATGAGAGGGGTCATTTATAAAGTAACAGTAAACTCCTCAGGTTAAGGAGGGTACTTCAGCTTAGCTTTTCTCTGCACACAGGAGAACTCCATAGCCAAGGCCCACACTGTCATTTACTTTGTTCCAAAGGCTTAGGGCTCATTGTCATTTACATTACTAACACTCTAGGGGGATGAAGGAATACACTCGGCTCCATCTCTCCTGCTGATTGCAATGAAAACCCCTGTGCAAACTAGATAGAGCAACTACAGGAATATTCTAAATGTCAAATAATAGCAGGTATGCTAGAGAGGAAAATCAAAACACAAAGAAGAGAGAGTAGAGGGTGCTTCCTGGCTTGATTTTCTTTCAACTCTCAGTTCTTCTGGCTCATACTCCTCCAGTAGGGACCAACAGATGCATCTCTTGAGAAAATTTCCTTTTTGTGCCCTGAAGACCAGTAAATGGGACATCTGTGGGACAATGAATACAGTGACCTCCTCATGTTTTTTTCCTCCTGGCTGTCCATGCCCCAAGTTAATCACAGTCAAGAACCTGCATCCGAACAGCAGCCAGACCATGGTCAGCCACACAAGCACCAAACCTTGAGAGAAAAATCCTCTCTTATGACCAAGGGAAAGGGAGTCTTTCATCTGAAAAATGTGCACAGAGTCCCTTTAACATTGTTGTTTCTGTTTTATCTCACTGTTTTGACTCAAGAGGCAAATTGAACAGGAAGAATAAACCTCAAATCTCTAGCACGGGGTGCTGCAAGAAAAGGGGAATCCTGGGAGCAGAAGGTGTGGGGATGATCAGAAATTGGAAGGACCTGACAAGCACCATCTTATAGGCGATGACAGGATCATTTCCTAGCCCAAAGCCACAGAACAAACCCTATAAAAACTGACAGCAGTCAAGACCATCCTCAGATTCTATTCTGGCCCAGAGGTAGACCCTAGGAAAGCATCCACATCTACAAGGGCCTGGAACAGTAAAGTGCCATTGGAATCAGAACCCACAGACTAAAGCCAGAGTTTGCTTTCTGAACCTTGTTGAGCTGAATCTTACTGAAACTGAACCCCAATTACAAATCCACATGCTTTAGAAGATTTTAACAGAGTTTGGAATCTTCTGACTCAACACTCAAAATATTGATATGCAACTGTTCTAAGGTAGGATAAAATGACTGCTCAAATGTGAACTTACTAACCCTGGTGATTTAAATACGCTTGGAAGTAGCACTATAAGGAGATTTGGCTTTGTTGGAATACGTGTGGCTTTGTTGGAGGAAGTGTGTCACTGTGGGGGTGGGCCTTGAAGCTCCACCCAGTGCAGAAGAGTCAGTTTCTCCTGGCTGCAGTCAGATCAAGATGCAGAACTCTCAGCTCCTCCCATGCCACACTGACCTACACAGTACCATGCTTCCCACCTTGATAATAATGGACTGATTCTCTAAACCTGTAAGCCAGCTCCAATTAAATGTTGTCCTTATAAGAGTTGCCTTGGTCATGGTGTCTCGTCACAGCAAAAGCTTATCTAAGACACTAATCTCTAGATGCTATTGGATATGTATGGTAGGAGAGATCATGATGAAGTTAAGGACCTTGAGATGAGGCAAGTACGCTGGATGATCCTGATGACCCAACATCCTCACGGAGTACCTACAAAGCAGAGTAGGAAAAGGAGTAGGCAAAAGGAAGTGACAAAAGCCCAGTTGGTGATGGGCTCTAAAGACAGAGAAGGGGCCACAAGACCAGGAGAAGGAACACAGCCCTACAACACCAGGCCTGTACAAGAACAAATTTGTTTTAGGCCACAAGGTTCATAGTCATTTTTTCTCACTCAGAAAACAAAAACTCAATTTTAAATTATTCAAACAGAAAATTAGAAAAAATCACCTCATTGACTCTCAAGGGAAGTAATACTAAGCACCAACCTCCATTTGATTCTTTAGGGTTGTAATAAGTGGTTAACGGATGTTTGGTTCCAATCTGATGGTGCAGGGCAAGGGAGTTACCTATAAGAGGCAGGGCTTACTGATGGGCCAAAAGACTGCCACCCTGTCTTAAAAACACAAGGTGGTATAGAATGACACTCAAGATTGACCTCTGACCTCCATATCCATGTGCATATATGTACATGTGCACACACGCATGAGCACACACACTACATAAGTCAGAAAATAAAAAGTAGAAATAATCAAATGCCCTCTTTCAAGGAATCCATAGATCAGAAACAGGAAACCAGAGTCTATGCATGGACACACTGTTTTGGCTTAATGATAGAGGAGGGCTTTTGGCTGACAGTGTAGGTACATTCTAGGTCATGTGAAAACAAGCAAGGAAATGAAGAGAAACTTTGTCTTACAAAGCTCAAAGTGCCAAATTAGGTCCACTTTCCTGTAGGACTTGAAGATGCGTTCAGCTGGCTGAGGCCTGGAAGCGACTCCTGTGATAACCTGAGTGGAAGACCCAACCACATCTTGCCCAACTTTAGAACAACAGAAACACAAAACCAAGGCTCAGGAATCAAAAGTGTCTGACTCGTTACAGGAAAACAAAAGGAATCAGTAGCACACACTTTTCCTGTTCCCTGAGAACAATGCTTCTGTTCACTTCTGAGGTGCACAATATTACATTACTTGCTATTATTTTGATGCAACAAAGTATATTCAAGCACATTCCTATTTTTAAAAATGCACCTGTCCCTATATCTTGTTATTTTCCAGTAACCCAGCAAGTAATCTTAGGCATTTGACTGAATGTATGTGAATTTTTTTTTTCTGGAAGACAGCTTGTTAGAACAGGAATGACTTTACTAAAGGAATACACATTTTAAATGTTAACAGGTATGATCTCTATAATCTCTAAAAATAAATTGGTTTATACTTTCAGACAGTCTTTACATTCCACCATGCCTGGAAAAGGTTTTATCTACATGGTTACATGGCTACATAGGTTACACAGCCAGCTGACTGGGTTCTGGGAACTTACCTCATGTCCTCTACAAAAGAAGTCCTTGTTCTGGATCACTCATCCACCTCTCTAGCCTCACATTTTACATGTCATTGTCATAGAATTTTTTTTAGAATGTTTATGTTGTTCAATATATTTCTCTTAGAAATTTCTTGCTTACGTAAACCTTTAAGTATGCTACTCCAACATTTTTTTTAACTTTTCCTGTTTTACTCTCAAATTTGCAATCACTTTATTTACATATGACTTACATCCATCTCTAGGTTTGAGAAGTCATGTAATTCTATAGGCATTACCACAACTTAGACTATCCCATCCATGTTGCTACCATTAACCCTTGCTTCCATTCCAGCCCCCAAGAGACCATTCATGCATAAAGGATTGGCCTTCTCTACAGTTTCATAAATGAAATAATATAATTTCGTAGTGTGTATGCTTGGCTTGTTTCATTTGACATATGTTTTTGAACTCTGTGATGTTGATATATCACTAGTTCTGTCCTTTGTGCTGACAAGTACTGTGTCCATGTCTGTGGGTTCTACACCAAATAATCATGGATGAAGAATGTTCCAAAACATTCATATGTACTGAGCATGTACTGAATTCATTTCTCATCACTAGTCTCTAAAAGTATGCTACAACCACTAAGGAAATGCAAAACACTGTCTACTTAAGTCATACATGTGATAAGACAAACCAGTCAAATCAGAGCCTCTCTTGGAACTGCTGGACTCAATGTGCACTCAGAAACTGGACTCAGATATAAAGGCCAGAATCTAAAACCATCACTGATTTCCATCCATCTGGATCACCACCATGGTGTGCACATTATGGAACTTCTGAGTGTCTGAGCTAGACATAGCAGAGATTGCTGAGTCTAAGCTCTACCTTTCACAGGTGGAGACAGCAGAGGTCAGAGAAGGAAGCCAACCATGCACGGGCACAGAGAGGGAGCAAAGTCAGGACTCAACCAAATCCTCTAAACCCAAGATCAGCATCTCTGGTCTACACTCTCAGACCTCGATAAACCAGGAGGATGGTGTGGGTGGGTGAAACTTGGTGGTGTTAAAAAAGCACCTGATGTTGAAGGCACATGGTGTCCTCTGAAGTAAACACAAGAGATGAGGCAGATAAGGCCAAGTGGTAAAAGACACTGGATCCCACTCAGTCTGATGAACTTGTTCTTCATTCTGCAAACAGAGTCATGTTCTATAGTCTAGTTCAAATCCTGGCTCTGCCTCCTCACTCTCCTACAAAGTCCCTGTTAATTAACTCCAATGTGCTTCAGTCCCCTCTATATGATAGGTTGACAGCAGCAGTCTCATGACAGAGCTGTTGTGTGGAATAAGTGAGTAACAGTGTACAAAGTGCTTAGAACAGACTTTCGATGATGAGGACATTCTCAGCATTGAAAAAAATGGTTTTGTGCTGGTGGTCAAAATCCCCTGACTAGGAAGGCCATAGGCCTTGCTGAGGAGGATGCTCCTGTTGTTTTGCTGAATGGATATAACATACATATCAAATAGTACCTCTAAATATGTATGTTTATGCATAGGCTCATAACTAGTCAAAGTGCTCAAAATAAATGACTGTTGAACACTCAGCCTTAAATGAGATGTGTGCATCACCTCCTTCAAGGCTCAGGCAGGATCCCACAAGGGGCAGGAAGACTGTAAGAACTGGAGAAAGGGTGTTTTTGTAGAATGTTGCTTTCTGAACATAATGCAGAGTCACACACATGATGTCACAGCAGCTGTGGTTACTTGTGCAGGACTGAACAAGGTTGATGCCATCAACACATAGTCACAGAAGAAATGAAGGTAGAGGGAGGACTATTTGGAAGGAGGAAGGAATCAACAGGAGTCAGAGAGAGATAATAAAGGGTCACAGGAGGGTGAATACAGTCAAACTATAGCATCATATGCATGAACAAATCATAATGAAACCCATTATTATGTATAATTAATATATGCTAATAAATATCATTTAAAAATTTATGAGAAGAGTCTCAAAGAAATCTATGTTTTAATAAAATCATCCTGGGGACAAGAAAAAAGGTGGAGATATTTTTTATGTAGCTGGGATAGGCAGGAAGAGAAGAAAAGAGGAGAGACCGAAAGGCTGGGTCTCCCAAAGGGTCTCCAAACCCATCCCACTGGGACCTAGAGCATCTCTCCTTATGCCACACCTTTTTATTGAAGCCTCAGAAGTGGAGCTAACACAAACCATCTATTGTATCTCTGGTGAATTTGCATCCATTTTCTCTGAAGAATGCTTCTCAGAAGTCTCAGGAGGCTTTGATAAGGTTGGAATTGGAGAAAAAGGAAAAAGTCCTCCCCGAATCCTACTCTGAATTTCCAAATTCAGCACCGGCCACCTGCTGCCATGATTAAATGTGTGACATCCACAGGGCTTTGACCAGCTCCTGACCTGATGAGTCTCCACAAAGTCAAGGGTAACAACAAAAGACCCTGGGTAACAAAAGCCAGGCTCCGCTTGTGCCTGTTCTTGTTATCTGAGCCTTTAGCTTCCAGATGAGGCATCTGTGCTGCCACTTTATGAAAACATAAAAATTCCAATTAGCAGCCCACATAAAGGAAGTGAAGAGTTCTCCATGTGGCTCGTAAACCTGGGGAGTTTATGCCTGAGAACAAAGGCTAACAGGCTGTTACAGCCCGGAGGGTTCCCAGGTATTTGAAGCAGGTCATAGGAGCTTCCCTGGGAATTTTTTACTGTCACACTGAATTGATCACATACATCTCCATTTATCTGACTATCTGACATGGAATTTTGACTAGAAATTACTGGAGTGGGACAAGTGTTTGACTTGACCTTGTCTGTTAAGCCAGGTCGGTCACCAGGAAGTATGGTCAGCCAAGAGCCACTGGCATCAGTCTCTCCTCACTCACCTGCTTCTGCTCCTCTGGTTTTGCCGAAGTCCTCAGCTCCTGTGTCTATTTCCCAGCCTTCTGAGTTTCTTGAGCCTCAGGCTTTCCTGGGCTTGAACTCCCCCTGTTGGCCCCTGAGAAGGATCACTAGAAACAGAAGAAATGGGGGCTCTGTTTGTTAACGGTCGCCTAACTTTGTAAGTCTCTGGGTCTCTCATAAACCTTTCCCAGGCGTACATCATGCTCATCCTCATCAGCTAACCTCACACAAGTGACTCCATCTCCGAGCAGTCCCTTTGTCATACAGGCCCTCTCTGTCTTAGTGTGACAAGGAAGGGAACTCACTGGGATACCTCACTCCCAAGTGTCACAGGCAGTTGAATCCCTCTGAGACATTTCTACTAGACTCTAGCCTACAGTGGCCTGGTATCCTCCATGACAGGAACATAAAACATCTCTTCATGAGGTCACGGACTCCACAGGAAGACCAAGAGTCAGCTAACCTGGAACCTTGGAGCCTCTCAGGGACTGAACTACCAACCAAAGAGTGGGCTGGACCTAGCCCCACCCCCTGTACATATGTAGCAGATGTGCAGCTTGGTCTTCATGTGGCCCCCCCCCCAACAACTGGAGCGGAGGCTATCCCTGAATCTGTCACCTGCCTGTAGATCTCATTTATTTAACTGGACCACCTTGTCTGGCCTCAGTGGGAGAGGATACATCTAATCCTGCAGTGACCTGACATGCAGGGTTTGAGGGTAGATGGTTCCTGTTCTCAGAGAAAGGGAGGGGGAGGAAGGGAGGATCATTGTAGGGGAAAGGAATGGGAGGACAGGTGCTGCTGATATTAAGATGTAAGATGAATAAAGAAATTAATCAAAAATGGTTTTAAAAATCTCTTCACTCCTGATTTCTGTTTGACCTTGCCTCTCGCCAGCAGAGCTCATATTTTCCTTAGATGCCTATGTTAATCCATGCAAATATTGGTATCTGGGTCCCACAGATTCTTGAAAAGAGAGAAGATAGCTTTGAAAATTAAGATAAACATGGGTCTCTAGGGAAGTTACATAGATTTCAAGGATTAATGAGTAAAAATCCAGTTGATCTGACCTTCTCAACTGCCAGGAACAAGAACTATCACATGATATCTAAGCACTGAGATCTGATCTTTCCAACTTGGTCAAGTGGTTCGGCTTATTTTTAAATTCACTCTTATCAATTACAACTCAACTGAAGAAATGTTGCTGCCAGCGTTATCAGTGCCATAGCTACCTTCCTTTCATGGAGGCCATCATGAGAGGGGAGGGTTCCCCTCAGTAACAGATAGTTACAGTTGAGTCAATCTCGAAACTTGACCTTCAGCTTTTAGGAAAAACACTCAGGCACAAGAACCCAAGATACACACCCAGATCTAGGACAAAAAGCCTTGTTTAGCATCATTGATCAGCAACCAAGTCCTGCACCTAGGTCTAGAGGAGGCCTGAGAGACAAAAACACGTATAAGAAGTTCTAGAGACACTCTCAAATTATAACAAAGAATAATTATAGTTAGAATTCTGTATGCCCAGAACACATGCATGATGACTCATTGTACAAAAGCCTGCCCAGCTGGCCCATGGGTACTGACATCAGCTGGGGCCAGCTGCATTGAGAGATCACTAGGAGCTGAGGACACAGTTGTCTACTTTGGACCTTGGGGAGGGGAACTCTATTGTTGACAACCCTGCCTCTCCTTTCAATGTTCCACTTCAAATCCTAACCATGCCCAATCATCCCTATGGGATTTCTCATATCAACCTTCTTCCCTCAGTAGCTTCTCTGGAATAATGAAAGGTAGGATATAGTGGGGAAAGGATGGTAGACTGGTGAGAAGAAGCTGAGTCCCAAGGGTATGTCATGAAGAATGTGTGAACATTTAGGGCAGGTAGCTCACCAATAACAAATGATTAGCCATGGGACAGAAGATCTAAGCCCTTTCCATGTGCTTCCCCCCATTATGGTGTTCTAGGCCTACCTTGAGGACCCATGGTCTTAGATAGAAGATCTATTAGTTTCCTGGGCCTACCATGACAATAGTCAACACAAACTGGATAGTAACTTAAAACAACAGAAATTTACTTTCCTGTAAATTGCTAAAAGTCAAAAGTAAAGCCACTTCCCTCTGAAGACACGAGGAAAGAATTCTGTCTTGCCTCATCCAGCTCCTGGTAGTTACCACCATTTCTTGGCTTGCAGCTGCATCACTCCAATCTCTGAGTTGTCATCATGTGGCCTTCTACATTTGCTTCTTCATGAAATCTTGCCCACTTTGTCTCAGCAACATAGCAACACCTTGATAGCATGCCCACATTTGGTACTCTCTCCTGTTCCCTCCACCCCTTACCTAGTTCATCCTGATCTTTGTCTGCATCCTTTTATATAAGAGGAACTGACCTTCAGCAGTCAACCTGCCCTTCTGCTTTCTGATCTCTAATGACCTAGATCTGGCTCAGAGACTCATTCAGGCACTGATCATTTGGCAAGCCCATGATGCAAGTTTTTCTCAGCATTCCAACTCACAGCTTCGAAAAACTGTGTTCAACAGACCCCAGTGCTGATGGCTTGCCATGATTTAATTCCTCAAATTCACAAAACAACCAGAAGAGGTAATAACTATTGTAATCCTACTGTACAGATGAGAAAAAATGAGCCTCCAGGACACACATCTAGAGTACCAGCACTGGACTCCACCTTGAGACTGTGACAGTACAGCCAGAGTTCCTGAAACATGCTAGTTCCCCCACGAAAGTGGGACACAAGTCATTGTAGACATTGGAGATGGCATATAAACATAGTCTCAAAACTGAATCCTGGAGCTCTGCTTTGAATGAATTTGTCCCTCTAAAAATAGTATGTGTGGATTTATGCCCTAGGAAAATGGTTCTGAAGTGAGAAGAGATTACTATTACTCCAATTGTGTCTCTCAAGAGCTTCAGAGAGTCCCCCAATCCTTCTGTCTCTCCCACCATGCAAGAACACAGAGGATGCTATTTCTGCCACATTAGGACAAAATAATACAGCCCCATGATGGAAGCACAGATTCTCTCACCAGACACTGAATCTGATGGCTTTGTGATCTTGGGCATCTTGTCCTCCAGAACTGAAGAAATAAATTTCTATTGCTTATAAATTGCTCAGACTTTGGCATTTTGTGATAGCAACACAAACAAAGTAAGATAACTGGTAAGATACCTTCTTGTGGCACTTTTACCTCTTTCCTGGAATGTAATGTAGAAGCTATGTGCTTGGTGATATTGGGAAGAAATTTAAAACATTCCTGACATTTATTACAATCCTCCATGCCCTACCATTTTTAAAGCAGAATTTAAGCCTCAAACTCATGAAATTGAACAGACCTAGAAAAAAAAAAGATGAGTCCAGTCATCCTTTCTTTGCTATACTGAC